GTTGAGTGCCCTCCTCCGGTTGACGACTCCCTTGCACTGACTCACCATTGAAAGGGTTCCTGTTGTGCAGAAGTCGGCAGGAAAGGCCTCCCCCAAACTCTTCCCTCTCTTTGATTTGTCTCAGTTTCAAAGCCTATTTTCCCCACGAGTCCCATAGAGTTCAAGAAGACAGGACCTGGGCCGTCAGCTTAGACTCGGAACTCCACATGAGAAATGTGTTTTCCCCGCAGGAGGCAAGATCCTTGCTTTCCCCACAAGTCAGAATGCCCTAGTTTCTACTTGTGGAAACACAGGTTGAGCCTTCCTCATTCAAGATGCTCAGGGACGGAAGTGCTTTGGATTTTGAAGTCTCAACATGGCATTGCCTTGCCGTTTGTATACACCTTTTGCACACAGCTTGAAGCCAGCCTTGTATACAGGACTTTAAGTAAGTTCCACAAAGGAAACAACGGCTGTGTACGCTGTACATTGAAACACCAGGAAGCAAAAGTGTCACTCTGTCAACCACGAGGCACACCATTTGGGAGGACGAGATCAAGGACACTCACTCTGTGGGAATCAATAATAATAATAATAATAATAATAATAATAATAATAATAATAATAATAATAATCTTTGTTTTGTCAAAGGCTTTCATGGCCGGAATCACTGGGTTGTTGTAGGTTTTATTGTTGAAGGCTTTCATGGCGGGAATCACTGGGTTGTTGTAGGTTTTTCGGGCTATATGGCCATGTTCTAGAGGAATTCTCTCCTGACATTTTCACCTGCATCTATGGCAAGCATCCTCAGAGGTTGTGAGGTCACTACCTCTGAGGATGCTTGCCATAGATGCAGGCGAAACGTCAGGAGAGAATGCCTCTAGAACATGGCCATATAGCCCGAAAAAACCTACAACAACCCATATAAACTTTATTTATACCACGCCACCATTTCCCTAATGGGGACTCGGAGTGGCTTACATGGGGCCAAGCCTGAACAACATATTACAGTAAAATAAAACCAAAACATTAACAACAAGCAACATCATCAAAATTACACAAGGGAAAAAAACATATGAATACAGTAACAAAATAACATTACAATAAACACAATCACAGTAGCAGTGGGCAGGCCGCATCATAAATAAATAAATAAATAAATAATAAACTTTAATTGTTACCCCACCACCATCTCCCCAATGGGGACTCGGAGCGGCTTACATGAGGGCGACTAAAATGATCAAGGGTCTGGAGAACAAGCCCTATGAGGAGCGGCTTAAGGAGCTGGGCATGTTTAGCCTGAAGAAGAGAAGGCTGAGAGGAGATATGATAGCCATGTATAAGTATGTGAGAGGAAGCCACAGGGAGGAGGGAGCAGATCAAGGGTCTGGAGAACAATATTTATTTATTATTTATTTATTATTTATTTATTTATTACTTGCACTTGTTAACCGCCACTCTCAGCCCGGAGGCGACTCGTGGCGGTGTACAAAACATAGAAAAAACAACAATTTACAATGGAACAAGACAATCACACACATATAAAAATCCGCTTCGTCTAGATTAGGGTCATAGTCAATCTCATCGTCATAGTCCATTCCGGTGATCATTCCAAGGAAACATAGCACTAGCTAAAGGCCTTTTCGAAGAGCCAAGTTTTCAGGCCCTTGCGAAAGGCCATGAGGGAAGGTGCCTGTCTGATTTCAGCAGGGAGGGAGTTCCATAGCCGGGGGGCCACCACCGAGAAGGCTCGCTCTCTCGTCCCCGCCAGGCGTGCCTGCGAGGCAGGCGGGACCGAGAGAAGGGCCTCCCCAGATGATCTCAAGGTCCTCGTGGGCTCATAGGCCGAGATGCGGTTTGCAAGGTATTTTGGGCCGGAACAAGCCCTATGAGGAGCGGCTTAAGGAGCTGGGCATGTTTAGCCTGAAGAAGAGAAGGCTGAGAGGAGATATGATAGCCATGTATAAATATGTGAGAGGAAGCCACAGGTAGGAGGAGGGAGCAAGCTTGTTTTCTGCTTCCTTGGAGACTAGGACGCAATGGAACAATGGCTTCAAACTACAAGAGAGGAGATTCCATCTGAACATGAGGAAGAACTTCCTGACTGTGAGAGCCGTTCAGCAGTGGAACTCTCTGCCTTGGAGTGTGGTGGAGGCTCCTTCTTTGGAAGCTTTTAAGCAGAGGCTGGATGGCCATCTGTCAGGGGTGATTTGAATGCAATATTCCTGCTTCTTGGCAGAATGGGGTTGGACTGGATGGCCCATGAGGTCTCTTCCAACTCTTTGATTCTAGGATTCTATGTACAGAATTAAATATTAATAACTACTGAGATAAAAATAGGAGCAAGTTATTTGCAGGGAGCTCATAAAGACACACAGGGTTGTGAAACTAAACTTCCCATTTTGGGGGGGGGGGGTACTCCAGAGACAGAAGCGTTGAGGAAAGCAATAGTGTCATGTTGTGCACCTACTCTCCAAAGGCGCAGCGGAAGAGCCAGGTTTTAAGTTTCCTTTTAAACATTTCTAGGGTAGGGCCTTTTCTGATCTCTCCAGGTAATGAGTTCCAGAGTCGGGGGGCCACAGAGGAGAAGGCTCTCTCCCTTGTGCCCACAAGAGAAGCTTGCGAGATTGGCAGGGGCAAAAGGAGGGCCTCCCCTGAGGATTGAAGGGCCCGGGTTGGTTCATGGAGAGAGATACGGACATTAGCAGGAACAGAATAATTTGACTGTGAAACATTACATTGTGTTGACCCCCCCCCCCCCCCGTAGCTTAAGGAGGAACCCTTGGTGTGGTTACTTCCGTTTCCACACCAATGAAGGGGCACCAGTTGGGGAGGGGAGAGGAACTCACGTTGGTGTGCCTAGATCACCCTTTTTTGCAGAAGAAGGTGATTTGAAGTATGGGTTGTTGTGAGTTTTCCAGGCTGCCTGGCCATGTTCCCAAAGCATTCTCTCCTGACGTTTTGCCTGCATCTATTATTTATTTACTAATTATTTATTTACTATATTTGTAAAATCCAATGCTCAAAAACATCATAAAAGAGTTAAAAATAAATTAAAACAGTAGCATAATAAACAGTCGGTATAAATCAATTTATTTGTCGTATCAGGGCAACCAGTCCATTATATTACATTTCTAACAGAACAAAGAAACAGACAAAACACAAAGTTTGCAAGTTTGGTAGTTGGTTAAATGTCCTTTGACCAGGATCTGGCCCCTTGGAGTGCCTCTGGTGTTGCCGCAAGGAGGTCCTCCATTGTGCATCATGTGGCAGGGCTCATTGCAGCAGGTGGTCAGTGGTTTGCTCTTCTCCACACTTACATGTCGTGGATTCCGCTTTGTGGCCCCATTTCTGAAGGTTGGCTCTGCATCTCGTGGTGCCAGAGCGCAGTCTGTTCAGCGCCTTCCAAGTCGCCCAGTCTTCTGTGTGCCCAGGGGGGAGTCTCTCATTTGGTATCAGCCATTGGTTGAGGTGGGTTTGAGCCTGCCACTTTTGGACTCTGGCTTGCTGGGGTGTTCCAGCAAGTGTCTTTGTAGATCTTAGAAAACTTATGTCTTGATTTAAGTCATTGACGTGCTGGCTGATACCCAAACAAGGGATGAGCTGGAGATGTCTCTGCCTTGGTCGTTTCACTATTGGCTGCTAAATATAAATCAATAAAACATCTCATTAGTGTCTCATTAGCGTCTCATAGTTAAAATCAAGAACCAGTGTATGGCAGGCATCCTCAGAGGTTGTGAAATCTGAGGATTTGAGGTATGGAGGAACCTGTGCGTCCTGAAGCTGGGTGGCATTGTCTGTTAGTGGAGGAGGGATGTTTCATGCACAGCACTGTTTTGCCTCCCTTTCCCCCTCCCCCCCCTCCCTCCCTCCCTCCCTCCTTCCTTCCTTCCTACTTCTTCCCTCCTTCCTTCCCTTCCTTCCTCTCCTCCCCTCCTCCTTCCTTCCTTCTTCCTTCCTTCCTTCCTTCCTTCTTCCTTCCTTCCTTCCCTCCTTCCCTCCCCCCCCTCCCTCCCTCCCTCCCTCCCTCCCTTCCTTCCTTCTTCTCCTTCCTTCCTTCCTTCCTTCCTTCCCCCTCCCTCCCTCCCTCCCCCCCTCCCTCCCTCCCTCCCTCCCTTCCTTCCTTCCTTCCTTCCTTCTCCTTCCTTCCTTCCCTCCTTCCTCCTCCCTCCTCTCCCTCCCTCCCTCCTCCCTTCCTCCTTCCTTCTTCCTTCCTCCTCCTTCCTTCCTTCTCCCTCCCTCCCTCCTCCCTCCCTCCCTCCCTCCCTCCTTCCTTCCTTCCTTCCTTCCTTCCTTCCTTCCTTCCTTCCTTCCTTCCTTCCTTCCCTCCCTCCCTCCCTCCCTTCCTTCCTTCCTCCCTCCCTTCTTCCTCCTTCCCTCCTTCCCTCCTCCCTCCCCTCCCTCCCTCCCTCCTTCCTTCCTTCCTTCCTCCTTCCTTCCTTCCCTCCTTCCCTCCTTCCCTCCCTCCCTCCCTCCTTCCTTCCTTCCTTCCTTCCTTCCTTCCTCCCTCCCTCCCTCCCTCCCTCCCTCCTTCCTTCCTTCCTTCCTTCCTCCCTTCCTTCCTTCCTTCTGTCCCTCCCTCCCTCCCTCCCTCCCTCCCTCCTTCCTTCCTTCCTTCCTCTCCTTCCTTCCCTCTTCCCTCCTTCCCTCCTTCCCTCTCCTCCTTCCTTCCTTCCCTCCTTCCTCTTTCCCTCCTTCCTCCTTCCCTCCTCTCTCCTTCCTTCCTTCTCCTTCTCTTCCTTCTTTCCTTCCTTCCCTCCTTCCCTCCCTCCCTCCCTCCCCTCCCTCCTTCCTTCCTTCCTTCCTCTTCCTTCCTTCCTTCCTTCCTTCCTTCCTTCCTCTCCTTCCCCTCCCTCCCTCCCCCTCCCTCCCCTCCTTCCTTCCTTCCTTCCTTCCTTCTTCCTTCCTTCCTTTCCTTCCTTCCTTCTCTCCCTCCTTCCCTCCCTCCCTCCCTCCTTCCCTCCCTCCCTTCCTTCCTTCTTTCCCTCCTTCTTCAAGTTTTGACGTCTCCTCCCTTGCAGTTGAAATACCAGCGGATGCTGGAGCGTTTGGAGAAGGAGAACAAGGAGCTGCGGAAGATCGTCCTGCAGCGGGACGACAAGGGCATCCACCAGAGGAAGCTGAAGGTGCCGCCTGCAAGGCTTCTCCATCCGCCCCCCGGGCCCCCTTGGCTCCCTTCGGAGGGACAACCCCATTCCCTTTGGGGGTGGCACCCCTGTCATTCTGGGATGGATACAGCAGTAATGCCTCCGGGGTATTTGGGGGTGGGTGGCCCTCTCTGGAAGTGGCACTTGCTGGCCACAGGCAGGGACCTACATTCACGGCAGCCTTGGGTGCCGCTGCCTCCTGTCCTTCTGTCACGAGGCGGTTGAGGGCAGAGGGCAGGGAAAGCCTCTCTTCGTCCCGTTGCCTTTTTCAGGATTGTGTTTAGCCGGACTCACTTGAGCTCCCTTTCCCTATTTCTTCCCCAGAAGTCCCTGATTGACATGTATTCAGAAGTCCTGGACACTCTCTCGGATTACGACGCCAGCTACAACACTCACGACCATTTGCCGCGGGTAAGGGGCCAGCGGGTGCCCAATGGCTCTGGCCTTGCGCCACAGTCCAGCATGGCGTGAACAAGAGGAAATCCTCACACTCTTGACCAGGACCGTAGCCAGGATTTCGTTATTTATTTATTTATTTATTTATTTATTATTTAAACTTATATGCCGCCACTCCCCTGGGGCTCGGAGCGGCTTACAAGAATGGCTAAAATCTAACAAAATTTAAAAGCAATTTAAAACAATTTAAAAACAACATATCAAACATTAAAAGCCTGTCGAAACAGGTATGTCTTACATGCCCTGCGGAAAGCTGGTAAGTCCGCAGGGCACGAACCTCAGGTGGCAGAGCATTCCAGACTGATGGCGCCACTGCTGTGAAGGCTCTGCGTCTGGTTGCTGCTAGACGCAAGGTCTTGACACTGGGGACTTCCAATAGATCTTGGTCCTCAGAACGGAGGGATCTCTGGGGTTGGTAGGGGATGTAGCGGTCCCTCAGGTACATCGGCCCCAGACCATGCAAGGCCTTAAAGGTGAGTACCATCACTTTGAAAGTGATCCGGTGCTCAATTGGTAACCAATGCAGCTGTAGTAAGATTGGTGTTATGTGGCATCTCATCGGAATTCCCGCAAGAAGCCGAGCAGCTGCATTTTGTACCAACTTGAGCTTCCGGATCACCGACAGAGGGAGGCCAATGTAGAGGGCGTTACAGTAGTCCAGTCTTGAGATGACCGTGGCCTGGATCACCGTAGCTAGGTCGTCCCTGGACAGGTAGGGGGCCAGCCGTCTAGCCTGCCGCAGGTGAAAGAAGGCGGTTCTGCTCACGGCGGAGACCTGGGCCTCCATTGTCAGCAGAGGGTCCAAAAGGACTCCCAGACTCTTGACCAATGATGACGGGCGTAACGCCTCACCATCCAGGGTGGGCAGATGGATGTCCCCACTGACCGGTCCACCCAGCCATAGGATCTCCGTCTTTGCTGGATTCACCCTCAACCTGCTGGCACGCAGCCATCCAGTCACGGCCTCGAGGCACTGATGGAAACAATCGGGTGCAGAGTCCGGTCGGCCTTCCATCTTCAGCACCAGCTGAGTGTCATCGGCGTATTGATAACACTCAAGCCCAAAACCTTTTGGGGGGGGGCTGAATTTTTTTCAGGGGGGGCTGAGTTTCGGGGGGGGGCTGAGTCTGAGTGAAAGAGGGTCTAGCCTAGCAAACCTTTTGTATCGTTACCCCAATAATACCCCCTCCATGCATATGGGATATATTGAGTATGGTGATCAGATCATGATATGAATAAACATAACAGTTTAAATAATGCACCAGAAGGCCTTTTCGCGAACCACCATGAGAATTTCGGGGGGGGGGGCTGAAGCCCCTCAAGCCCCCCCCCCCTTCCCGGCTACATGCCTGCTCTTGACAGTGCTTGCAAGCAGGGCCATCTTGGCTCCAGGCAGGACTGGGACTGAAGGACTGAGCTGGACCCAGCCAAAGGGAGGTCAGGCACAGGCATTCCAGCTAATAGCCACCTGGTGCCTTCTCCTTCCTGACTTTGCCCAATAATGCCCACCATTATTGTTCACTAGTATTATTCATTGTGTTTCTCCCCTCTGTTTCCCCAAAACCAGGACTGAAGTGGCTTGCAAATTGAAACAAGCGCAATATGGGCAAAATAAACAGATGAACATTATTAAATTTCTAGCAACATTAAAATCTTTCTAAACGTGCAATTAAAAATGTTTAAAAACCTTGAAAACACAAAGCCATTAAAACAATACAGGAAGCTCTTCAAAACCCTTTAGCACTTATGAACCCTCGTATGTAATTCGGTTGTGCATTTTTCGGTAACTGCAACTGAATGTCTGGAAAGCTTCCTCCCCAAAAAACGACGGAGCCCACCAGTTCTGATCAGATTCCCACTGCAATTGGGGAAGGGCTGCCGTTTGCACCCAAGGGCGCATTTTCACGTTGGCTGGGCATTCCTTCTGCAGGTGGTGGTGGTTGGGGACCAGAGTGCCGGGAAGACCAGCGTCCTGGAGATGATCGCCCAGGCCCGAATTTTTCCACGCGGCTCCGGAGAGATGATGACCCGCTCCCCCGTGAAGGTGCGGAGGGGATCCCAGGGGATCGGGGCACAGCTGGGGAAGGCCTCCCTTTGCGGGCGGGGGACCCTCGTCCTTTCCTTGACCGTCTACCCTTCCTGCCTTGGGCCCTTAGGTCACCCTGAGCGAAGGCCCTCACCACGTGGCCCTCTTCAAGGACAGCTCCCGGGAGTTTGACCTCACCAAGGAGGAGGACGTAAGTCTCCAGGAAGCCCCTGGCCTTTGACTTGGGATGTGTATGGTCTGCACGGGTGGCGTGACGGAGGGACCTGGTGTAGAAATGCTCATGAACGGGTGCATAGGGGTTGCCTTAAGGAAGACTTTCCACAGAGGTGGTGCCAACGCCAAGGAGGATCTCCTGATTGAATCTCCCTGCAGAGACAAAGCAGGAGGACGAGGGCCCAGAATCGTAAACTGTTGATGTAGTGACCTCTTGAGTATCTGCTCAAAGGCATGAAAACAAACAATGAAGCATACTACTTCAGTCAGCTCCAAAGCCTGGAGCAGCTCTTATCTTTTATTGCAATCTACCCTAAAAACTATCTACAAGAGCAGAGTAAAGGTGTCCATGCATCACTGGAAGCACCATTCCTAGCTTACCTGCTGGCATCCGTCCCTGTCGCAGGAACTTTCCAAAGTTACTCTCTAGCAATACATCACAGCTCTGTGCATTTAACTCTTGCATTACATTGCTACATCAACACAGTTTAAACCAGGGGTCCTCAAACTAAGGCCCGGGGGCCGGATGTGGCCCTCCAAGGTCATTTACCCAGCCCTTGCTCAGGGTCAACCAAAGTCTGAAATGACTTGAGAGCACATGACAACAACAACAATAACAACAACAATCCTATCTCATCAGCCAAAAGCAGGCCCACACTTCCCATTGAAATACCAATAAGTTTCTATTTGTCAAAATTGTTATTCATTTTAATTATTGTATTGTTTTAAAGTGGTTTTTTTGCATTACAAATAAAATTTGTGCAGTGTGCATAGGAATTCATTCATTTTTTTTTTTCAAATTATAATCTGGCCCTCCAACAGTTTGAAGGACTGTGACCTGGCCCTCTGCTTTAAAAGTTTGTGGACCCATGGTTTAAACTATAAACAATACTTCACTACATTTAAGCACCACGTTCCGACATAAACGTCCAAGGAGTTTTGAGTTTTTTATTAATACACTTGGTGATGGAACCTGGGCCTGACCCATCCCGGGCTTTGTGGGGCTTTCCTTCGCCTTTTGAATTGCATTTGCAAATCGAATAAGGAGCCATTGGAGGTGAAATACAGCTGGGCTTGGCTGCTCCGAGCGCTGGGTCCTCAGCTACACGCGGCTGCCATCTTTTAAACCCGTAGCTTTCCCCAAATATGTGTGGCTCTTTGAAGAGTATGGCGTGGGGGCCGGCAAGTGGCCTTTTTCACTACGGTTTACTACCAGATTGTGGCACAGAACATGTGAATGTGTTGTCATTTGCTTTCATGGCCAGGTTGCTTTGAGTTTTTTGGGCCATATAGGCCAAAATGCTGCTGGAACATGGCCATACAGCGTGAAAAACTCACAGCAACCCAAAAAAGGGAGAGTTTCTTTGCTTGTTTTTTTTTTCAAGGGGGGGGGGGGGTCATATGCAGCTGTAAGGGTGTTTATTTCAATGTCTCTCCTGCTCCATTTCAATTGGAATGTCGAATGGACATGTCCCTCGGAGATTTCCCTTCTGTCTCCTGAGATGAAATAAAATCCTTGCTGCAGGAGCCTGGTGCAAATGTCTTGGTTCTTGTTTCAAGTTCTGATTTCTCTCTCTCTCCCTCCCTGTGGAGACAGCTGGCAGCCCTGAGGCACGAGATAGAGATCCGGATGCGGAAGAGCGTGAGCGAAGGCTGCACCGTCAGCTCAGAGGTGAGAGAGGCCTGGCGCTGCTGCCTTGGGGTCTCTGCTCCCCGTTTCCTAAGAGGCCTCACCTGGGACCCTTCCCAAAGTCTCTTCCGAGGCAGAGCGCCCACCAAGCCTCCCCGCTTTGCTCTCTCTTGCAGACCATCTCCCTCAGCGTTAAAGGGCCGGGCCTCCAGAGGATGGTGCTGGTGGACCTGCCAGGCGTCATCAGCGTGAGTGTGTAGGGGCATGTGGGGGGGGGGGGGGGGCTTTGCCGCAAAGGGCACCCACTCGCTTAGCGACTTCCTGGGAGCCTTGCAGCATCTTTATGGGCTTCCTCTGCCTCAGCGTCCCCTGCAGAGGAGCAGAGATCCTGCTGGTCCCTGTTGCAGGTCCCAGAGAGAACTGCTGAGGATTTGGCTGGACAGAGCCTGCCTGGGAATCTGGCTAGTAATAATAATAATAAATAATAATAAACTTTATTTATACCCTGCCACCATCTCTCTAAGGGGACTCGGGTCAGCAGACGTGAGGTCAAGCCCAAGAATTACAATAAGGCAAAGTAAAATTCAAACATGCCAGTTTATTTATTTCGTATCAAAAGTATGGCATAAATTAGTATAAAACCGATAAAAATAGAAGGTGTGCAGGCGGCTAAATATCTTTGGACCAAAAACGGGCAATAGCAATCAATGGCATTGTCGGTAGCCTCCAACAATTCTTCCTCTGTACATGAGGCAGGGCGTAGTGGACAAGCATACAGGTGCGGAGTTGTCTGTTCTCTGCTTCACAGTCACACAAGGTGGGGGATTCTTTTAGGTAGAGTCATTTTGCAAGGTTGCCTTTTGATCCTAAATATCTTTTGACCAAAAACGGGCAACAGCAACGGCATTGTCTGTAGCCTCCAACAATTCTTCCTCTGTACATGAGGCAGGGCGTAGTGGACAAGCATACAGATGCAAAGTTGTCTGTTCTGCTCCACAGTCACACAAAGTGGGGGATTCTTTTAGGAAGGAACTTCCTGACTGTGAGAGCCGTTCAGCAGTGGAACTCTCTGCCCCGGAGTGGTGGAGGCTCCTTCTTTGGAAGCTTTTAAACAGAGGCTGGATGGCCATCTGTCAGGGGGGATTTGAATGCAATATTCCTGCTTCTAAACTACAAGAGAGGAGATTCCATCTGAACATTAGGAAGAACTTCCTGACTGTAAGGAGAGCCGTTCAGCAGTGGAACTCTCTGCCCCGGAGTGTGGTGGAGGCTCCTTCTTTGGAAGGCTTTAAACAGAAGCTGGATGGCCATCTGCCAGGGGTGATTTGAATGCGATATTCCTGCTTCTTGGCAGGGGGTTGTCTGTTCTGCTCCACAGTCACACAAGGTGTGGGATTCTTTTAGGTAGTGCCATTTTTCCAGGTTGTCTTTTGATCTGCCCACTCCACTTCTGAGTCTGTTCAGGGATTTCCAAGTTGCCCACTTTTGGTTTGCCCCTGGAGGAAGACCCTCATGGGGGAGGGCACTAAGTTGGGATTTCCTGGTTTAGCTGCCCAGAGGGAGGGAGGGAGGGAGGGAGACCCTTGGTGTTGCTGGGGGGATACTGAGAGGAGTGGTAGTTGCAAGTAGTAACATCAAATAAAGTGCAAAGCATGGGAACAGCATGCTTTTAATGCCGCCCCTCAAACGCAGACCAGGCCTACAGTGCCTAGGCCAGGCCTGGGCCAACTTGGGCCTTCCCTCTCTCCCTCCAGGCGTTTTGGACTGCAACTGCCACAATTCCCAAGAGCCAGTAGGCTGGTAGGAATTGTGGGAGTTGCAGTCCAAAACACCTGGAGGGCAGGGGCTGAAGTCTGGAGTCGCTTGCCTGTGAGTGCCAAGCTGGGGCTGCCCACATCCTTCCTTGCGTCCTCCTTTCATCCCCCCCGCTCTGCTTTGTCAGCGGACAAGCGGGGAATCCCAGGAGGGAAGGAAGGAAGGCGTCACACAGAAAAGGGATTCCTCTCCCCCGTCCCCTCCTCCGTTGAATGCCCTTCTTTCTTTCCCCAGACGGTGACTTCGGGGATGGCTCCCGACACGAAGGAGACCATCTTCAGCATCAGCAAGGCCTACATGCAGAACCCCAACGCCATCATTCTCTGCATCCAAGGTAAGCAGCAGGCATTCCTGGCCTTGGCTCGCAATCAGGCCGAACTCCGGCAGCTGAACTTACAGCTCGCAGATTTGCAAACAGTGTGCACGCCCAAGGAAATGGGTATGTGAACAGTTATGTGCATGCCCTTTCCTTGGCTCTCTGAGGTTTACATTGCCTTTGTTTGTTTGTTTGTTTGTTTGTTTGTTTGCCGTATTTATATACAGAGTTGTGCCTCTGTTTGTAGTCCATCTGTGCGATTTTCTTGCAGCAGCAGCAGCTGAGGAGATGCTCCATGGTTTCCTCCGCTTCCTTGCGCAGTCTGCATTTGGGGCCATCTGCTGATTTTTCAATCCTGGCCTTCATGGCCTTGGTTCTGATGAAGTGGAAGAATCAAAATATGTTACATCCACAAATATAGGAGCATTCTCTGTAATTTGCATTATAATTTAAAAAAAAGAACTTCTTGACAGTTTTAAAAGAGGCGCCGAATGGGGCCGCACATAATTAGAATTAATATGCGAAGACTTTCTTTTCTTTTCTCAGCCTGAAGGCGACTCAAGGCGGTTTACATTTGTCACAATTCAATGCCCCCTAACCTATAAAATGGAGCCCCCGGTGGCGCAGTGGGTTAAAGCACTGAGCTGCTGAGCTTGTTGATCGAAAGGTGCAGGTTCGATTCCGGGGAGCGGCGTGAGCTTCCGCTGTCAGCCCTAGCTTCTGCCAACCTAGCAGTTCGAAAACATGCCAATGTGAGTAGATCAATAGGTACCGCTCCGGCGGGAAGGTAACGGCGCTCCATGCAGTCATGCCAGTGGCCACATGACCTTGGAGGTGTCTATGGACAACGCTGGCTCTTCGGCTTAGAAATGGAGATGAGCACCAAACCCCAGAGTCAGACATGACTGGACTTAATGTCAGGGGACTACCTTTACCTTTAACCTATAAAATACAACTAAAACATTAGTATATAAAATATAGGTACATAAAAATCAATAAAATCATGGATCCTTAGGGAACCGTGCCTTTGCATATTCTGTGAGCCAGGAGTGGGCCTTCCGCTTCTTTCCAGGTGGCTCTTTAAAAAAAAAACATGTTCAGTGAGACAAGTAGAGCGTCCTAGTAACAAACTAATCTATTAATCTACCCAATTCACAGTCCTCTCGCTCTCTGCCCGATGGTTTCTTAGTTCTGACTCATCTCTTCTCTTTAGGGAATGTCCTATACCTGTGACGGTGAACCTATGACATGCGTGTCAGCACTGACACACATGGCTGTTTTTTGATGATACACGGCCACATGCGGCCGCATACAGAGAAGTACACCTTATAGGAGCCAATCTAATTCCATCCTTAAATTTGTAAAAGGTTCTGCAAATTTAACACCTGCACATTTGAGCATTGTTCACTCCATAACTCAGTATGGATTGTACATTCTTCTTATTTAAACTATAAATATTGCAAAACTATGTTTTTTTTTCTCAAAGTGACACTCCACCCAAGTTATGCTCAGGTTTTTGGCAAATTTTGACACACCAAGCTCAAAAGGTTGCCCATCACTATCCTATACTCACACTTCTACCTTGACTGACATATTGCTAGCTCATTAATCCAAATATTAGTCAACCCCCCCCCCCCCAATCTATATAAATCTAGATAAAGTGTAATGTTTGTTTGTGGGATTAACAGAACTCAAAAACCACTGGTCTAATTGACACCAAATTTGGACACAAGACACTTATCAGGCCAATGAGTGACCATCGCTCATAAAAACACTGAAAAAGGCAGTGGAAGAGATTTAAAAAGCCAATAAATAAATAAATAAATAAATAAATACATTACAACACATGCGCATAACCACACATATACACAAATATATACACAAACACACACATATATATATACACACATAAAATATATATATAGAGATTGGGCCACAGCAACCCGTGGCAGGGAATGGCTATTTAAATCAATAAATCTCCAATCTCGCTGGAAGTTAGGCAGGGCCTTCTCCTCCATCAGCAGAATCCATCTGTCTTTCTTCATTAACCGTTGTCCTCTTTTTTCCCAGATGGATCGGTGGATGCGGAGCGCAGCATCGTCACAGACCTGGTCAGCCAGATGGACCCTCAGGGCAAGAGGACCATCTTTGTCTTGACCAAAGTGGACCTTGCCGAGAAGAACGTGGCCAGTCCCAGCAGGGTGAGCGGGGGGGGGGGGGGGGGGGGGGGGGGGGAGTAGGAGTAGGAGGGGGTTTCCTCCCATTGCCGCCCTTCGATTCTTCTGGAAAGGCAAGGAAACATATTGAGGATCCAAAGGAGAAGCGGAGCCTGTCCTCCCAGAAGCCAGGCTTGTTTCCCAGTTGCATCCTAGGGATTCCGTGGGCACACAGAGAGGCCCAACTAGCCTTCCTTTTGCATAGTTTTCACCCACTTTGGGGCCTCAGATGCTACTGAACGACAACTCCCATCCCTTTTGATGATCTGCCAAGCAGACTGGGGATAATGGGAATTGCAACCCAACAGCGCTTTTGGCTCTGAGTGTGGGGAAAGGCTACAGGGCGTTTTAGAGCGAGGCGTCCTGACTGCAAGCCTTGTATCTGAATCTGGGCTCCACTCTCCCAACTAAAGAGAAGAAACTGCAGTCTCCCAGGTGTCACTGGATCACAACTCCCATCCACTCTAGTAATGATACCTAATGGATCACAGGAATTGGAGTCCAGCACCTGGAGGAGGGACACGTTACATTACATGGCGGGATGGATTCAGCCTTGAGTTTGACTCGTGAGGTTTACTATAAACAAGATGAACTCCAACTTTTAGCACAAGACCACAAATATGATATCATAGGCATCACTGAAACCTGGTGGGATGACTCCTATCGCTGGAATGTAGATATTGAGGGGTATAACCTCTTTCACAGAAACCGAACAAAGGGGAGAGGAGGCGGAGTAGCCTTATATGTCAAAAACTCTTATGCTGCAGAAGAGATGCAAGAGAGCCATCCGGGAAACCAGCTTGAAAGTATCTGGATAAGAATCAAGGGAACTGGGACTCAAAAAGATGTCGTTGTAGGCATCTACTACAGACCTCCAAGCCAGGAGGAAGAACTTGATGAAGCTTTTAAGCAGAGGCTGGCTGGCCATCTGTCAGGGGTGCTTTGAATGCAATATTCCTGCTTCTTGGCAGAATGGGGTTGGACTGGATGATGGCCACCACAAAGGTCTCTTCCAACTCTTTGATTCTAGGATTCTCACAGCAACATTGACATCATGTCTTGTCGAAGGCCTTCATGGCCAGAGTCACTGGGTTGTTGTAGGTTTTTTGGGCTATATGGCCTTGTTCTAGAAGCATTCTCTCCTGATGTTTCACCTGCACCTATGTCAAGCATCCTCAGAGGTTGCTAATGTTGCTAATGGAAGCAACACCAACCACCAGTGTTGTTGAGCTGCCATTTTTCTAGAGTCGTGCATATAAAACTGTAAAATCCGATTTGTTCTTTGGCTCTTCAGAAAAAAACCCTGAACACTGGCATAGTTTGATGATCCAATACCCAGTGGCCTTTGAGCGGAATTCCCTTTCCTCTGCTCCACGCCAGGAATAGATTACTGCAACGTGCTCTACGTGGGGCTGCCTTTGAAGACAGTTCAGAAACTCCAGCTAGTCCAATGGTCAGCAACCAGACTACTAACTGGGGTGGCATACAGGGAGCATACCACCCCCCTGTTGTGCCAGCTCCGTTGGCTGCCAGTCCATCTCCGAGCCCAATTCAGTGCTGGTTTTGTCCTATAAAGCTCTATACGGTTCGGGCCCAGCTTACTTGTCCGAACGCATCAGCCCCTATGTCCCACCTCGTAATCTAAGATCATCCGGGGAGGCCCTGCTCTCGCTCCCGTCAACAGCACAAATGCGCCTGGCGGAGATGGGGACAGGGCCTTCTTGGCTGTGGCCCCCCACCTATGGAACACACACCCTCCCTCCTGAAAAAAATTAAAATCATGGTTTTGGGACCAGGCCTTTGGGCAGTAGAAGTAAATGTGTGCAGCATTTTGGAAAGACAATGACTGGAACAGCGATTCAATGGACGAGACTGTTTTATTGGTTTATTGATTGTTTTATTGCTTGTGGATGCACTGTTTTTAACTTGATTCATGTCTAATTGTAGTATATAATTGTAATTGTTTGTACCGGCATTGAATTTTGCCGTTACTTATGTGTAAACCACTTTGAGTCCCCCTCGGGGTGAGAAAAGCAGTATACAAATACTGTAAATAAATAATAATAAATACAATTTGGTGTTCAGCCAAATGGATGGCCGTGCCTGGCAAATGCTAGCCTGAAGGGTTTTACATGCTCCATAACAGAAACGCAGGTGTGAGCATCCGAGGGAGTGCTGGGCATCTGTCTTGTTTTTGCAGATCCAGCAGATCATTGAAGGCAAGCTCTTCCCCATGAAGGCTCTCGGCTATTTTGCAGTCGTCACAGGAAAAGGTAACCGGGATTTCCCATTTGGAGGGGTGCTGCACGTGTGGGGCGGCATTCCCTGATCCCTTGCCTTTCTTTTTTCCCTTCCTTCCTTCCCTCTTTCCTTTCTCCAGGAAACAGCTCAGAGAGCATTGAATCTATTCGAGAGTACGAAGAGGAGTTTTTCCAGAACTCCAAACTGCTGAAGTAAGTTTTAAAAAGCAGGTCTCCTTACCAACTCAATGCCCCTCGCTGGCGCAGAACCTTTCGGCCTCTCTGGGTCGGTGGCTCCCAACCTTGGGTCCTCCAGGCGTCTGGGACTTCAAGGCCCAGAAATCCCAGCCATCTTGTCAGCTGTTAGGAATTGTGGGAGCTGGAGGACCAAAGGCTGGGAGCCACTGTCCTAGGTGTGTGTGGTGTGCTTTGCCTGATGGTCCTTGGAACTTGCCCCTGAACTGCTGCCTTTCTCTCTGGCGCCTTGGGGCAGCTTGTTCTTTAATGCCTTGCCTGTGGTCCAGGCACCTACAAAAGCATCCCACACACAATCGTAAAATATTATGATGTTTTTGTGGGGGTTTTTGTAGCTTGAGTGCGTGTTTCTCAATCAAGAACTTGGTAACCATGAGGAGAGGTGGGCAAGAAATAAAACTATTATTATTATTGACACAAAAACACAGTATGTCACAGCAAACGAGATCTCTATGCTGAGGAGAAGTCTAGTTCCATCCCTGACCCTTGTCCGTTGCAGGAGATGGTTGAGTGGGTCAAAAAGGCGTTGTCCCCCTGAGTCTGTATGGCCCCCACCCCGTTGCCAGTGCGCTTCCCGGGGCTTTTCCTCTTCTGTCTCTCACACAGGAACTGCATGCTGAAGGCCCACCAAGTGACCACCCGGAACCTGAGCCTGGCCGTCTCCGACTGCTTCTGGAAGATGGTCCGGGAGTCTGTGGAGCAGCAGGCCGACGCCTTCAAAGGTGAGGGGTCAGTGGGAAGCCCCACCCCCTTGGAAACATGCCCCCCCCCCTTAAGGGCTGGAAGGGCCAGGCTCTGGTTTCCTTCCCAGGGCCCTCCTTGCATTATGCAGACCCTGAGCTGCCCGTGGTCCGGCCTCTTAGTTAGGACAGCTGAGTGGACTTCTGCCTTCCCAAGGCTTCCAGGAGAGAAAATGGCAGTGACGATTTTAGGTGCTCTGGAGAGTATGTGCATCTCATCCAGGTTACATTGGATCAGTCGAGAAGGGATGTGTCTGTCCCTTGATTCTTCTCATTGCCACACAAAGAAGATACGGAGAGGAAGGGGGGTTAAGCAGAATGCAGGGATGGGTTTCAGCAAGGAACAGAAGGGCAGGCACACGGGCAGCCTTCGGCCCTCCAAGTGTGTGGACTTCAGCTCTCACCGTTTCTAACAGTCAGTAGGATTCTGCGAGTTGAAGTCCAAAACACCTGCAGAGAGGGCCAAAGTTGGCCCAGGCCTGTAGGAAACCTTTGGTGTTGAGGGGATGCTGGGAGTTGTAATTTATCGATGCCTGGAAGGCCGCCTGTAGTTCCCAGAGCATAAGCCTCCTCAAGGACTGATTTCTTTCCCCTCTGTCCTTCCCACAGCGACCCGCTTTAACTTAGAGACGGAATGGAAGAACAACTATCCCCGTTTGCGGGAACTGGACCGGGTGAGTAGGCCTCGTGGCCAGTCGGGGTGGCGGTGGCCAGGGCATCCGGCGAGGGCTGCAGGCGACCCTCTCAAAGTGCAACACAGGGTTGTTGCCTCTGATGTTGGCACTGCTGCCGCTGCTCTGCTATTGCTGGGGTGGGGCCATTTTCCCAGCACTCTAGAGCTCTCCGCTCTCAGTTTTCGCAGACCTTCCCATAGACTGTGTTAGTCTGGGAAACCAGGATACAAAGGGATTTTGTAGCACCTTAGAGATTAACTGAGGAAAAGAAGTTGCTTTCACGTCTGAGGAAGTGGACTGAAACCTACGAAGACAGGTGCCATCAGCCTCACCGTCACTTCTCTTAAGGTGCCTGAAGGTCCCTTTGAAGGCTTCCCTCAGATCGTTGGCCTTCAGAGGCTGAGATGCTTATTCCCCACTCAGCCACAACCTATAGTATAGCCCAGGGGTCCTCTAGGGCCAGGTCACAGTCCCTCAAACTGTTGGAGGGCCAGATTATAATTTGAAAAATACATGAATGAATTCCCATGCACACTGCACATCTCTTATTTGTAGTGCAAAAACACTTGAAAACAATGCAGTAATTAAAATGAAGAACAATTTTAGCAAATACAAGCTTATTAGTATTTCAATAGGAAGTGTGGGCCTGCTTTGGGCTGAGGAGAGAGGATGGTTGTTGTTGTGTGCTTTCAAGTTATTTCAGACTTTGTTTGACCCTGAGCGAGGGCTGGGTAAATGACCTTGGTGGGCCATATCCGGACCCCCAGCCTTTGTTTGAGGACCCCTAGTATAGTGTATATATAGTACAGTATAGTACAGTGTCGTATGGGCATTCAGATGTATGTCTGTGTAATTATATCATTAATTTCCCCTGGACTGTTTTAAGTATATAGGGAGGAAGCATGGTAAAATTGCCCCATGCCTCTTGTGTGTGTGTGTGTGTTGAGACTCAGCGTCTGTCTGATGCACCTACTACCAGTTGTAGGAGAAAGCGTGGCTTAGAGAATGATGAAGAGCAGCAGCAGCTGAAAAGGATCAGGGACTTGTTTCTTGAGACTACTGATGAGGAGGATTTTGTGGGCTTTACTCACGAGGAAATGGAGCTAGATGACTACAGAGGTGTAAAAAGAGTAGCCAGCAGCTCTAATAGTGATGTGGGGTCTGTTGCTAAACGTCTGAGAGACGTAGCTGACTGTGCAGACTTTGACAGCGAAGAGGAAGAGCTGGACTGGACTAAAGTTCAGGAAGTAATGGATGTTCTTAACGCCCCCACGTCTAGCGATGAATTCCAGGGTTTTAATGATGTTACTTTGCAGGATGCAGCCCGAAGTGCTGAGTGGCAGCAATGGCGTGGCTTCAATTCACCTGAGGGTTTAGATCCAGCTGAAAGCAGCTCCAGCGATTCGGATGAAATTTAAGGAGCGGTTTGGGGACCATCTAATCGCAGAGTTCAAAGTGTCCTGCATTGCTGTTTTGTCCTGCCGCTGGACCTGGGTCTTGACAGTGTGTGTGTGTGTGTGTATGTAGTGACTCAGAGGGCCATTGTGAAGAGAAAGCAGAGGGGAGCCACACAGTGTCCTCGGCCTTGAGCTTCTTGCAAGTGGGACAGAAATGTAACCGATGGGGGAATTGGGTGTTCTGAGGACCAGCCATGTTTCTCCTGTCCTTCTTGTTTTTGTTATTTTGCGATATCCCAGTGTGTCCCTCTGAAGATAAAAGAGAGGTCCGTGGCTTGTCTCTTCTGTCCATTCTCTGGCCCTTCCAGTCTCCCTGCGTGTGGCCTTGTTTAGAGACGCTGTTGAGTTCCATGCAATTGGGGCACGAGGGTGGGGCGTTGGGGTGGAGCAGAAACCTAACTTCACTTCACTCACGACAACCCTCTTTTTCCATCTTCCCTTTAGAACGAATTGTTCGAAAAGGCCAAGAACGAGATCCTTGACGAAGTCATAAGCTTGAGCCAGGTGACGCCCAAGCACTGGTACAGTCACCCCTCGGTTTCTCTTTTCCTCCTCCTGTTCCCTTAAAGTTTGGCTGGGGATCCAGTGGGTTGCGCTGAGAACGAGGTGGGCTGCTGGGAATTCCCTGCGATTCTCCCAAGGGGTGGGCATTTCTCTCAGCCCGCCAAGGGCCCCCCAGTCCAGCCCTCATTTCCCAGGCAGCAGGCTCTGTGAAAACACAGGCTCAGCATTTCCTTCTCTGGAATTTGCAAGTACTCTGATTTTTTGAGATAGTGCCACCTTTAATTTCTGAGGTTCAGTGTATGCAAAGTTCATTTCAAGCACAACATTATTTAAAATCTATGTATATAAGTCACATCATTTGGCCACATCATGAGGAGACAGCAAAGCCTAGAGAAGACACTTATGCTGGGGAAAGTGGAAGGTAAAAGGAAGAGGGGCCGACCAAGGGCAAGGTGGATGGGTGGCATCCTTGAAGCGACTGGACTGACCTTGAAGGAGACCCTGGGGGTGGTGACGGCCGACAGGGAGCTCTGGCGTGGGCTGGTCCATGAGGTCACAAAGAGTCGGAGACGACTGAACGAATGAACAAGAATATAAGTCAAAGTATATGTATGTGTGTGTGTGTGTGTGTGCACACACACTAGCTGTCCCCTGCCACACGTTGCTGTGGCCCAGTCTGTTGATCTGGAAAATGGCCTTAGATGGTCTTAAGTATTTTCTGTTGGTCATGGGGGTTCTGGGTGGGAAGTTTGCCCCAATTCTGTCGTTCGTGGGTTCAGAATGCTCTTTGATTGTAGGTGAACAGTGAATCCCAGTGACTACAACTCCCAAATGCCAAGGTCTGTTTCCCCCAAACTCCATCTGTGTTCATTTTTGGGCGTATTGAATGCTTGTGCCAAGTTTGGTCCAGATCCACCATTGTTTGAGTCCACAGTGCTCTGGATGTTGGTGAACTACAACTCCCAAACTCTAACATCAATGCCCACCAAACACTTCCAGTATATTCTGTTGGTCATGGGAGTTCTGTGTGGCAAGTTTGGTTCAATTCCATTGTTGGTGGAGTTCATAATGCTCTTTGATTGTAGGTGAACTATAAATCCCAGCAACTACAACTCCCAAATGACAAAATCATAATTTTTTGAGTGATGGTCACTCCTTGTGTTGTGAGACATTTTGTTGCCAAATTTTGTATGGTTTCGTTCATTGGTTCTTTTGTTTTTAAGGTACTCATTACGCACAGAGCATTTTTTTATATATAGATTGGTTGGTTGGTGGGTTTGTTTGATCCACAAAGGCTTCTCCATGGCGTAATGGATCTGGACCAGACGTGGTACACAGACCCTTCATTGTCCAACTTAAAATACTAGCAGGGTTTCAACTGAAATCTTGGCCCCTTTTGGAGGGATGGCCCCAAAAAGTCACAAAATGTGTGTGCAGTGCTCAGAAGCAACCACAAGAGGGTAGTATATAAGTGGAAAGGCTACCTCAAAGGGTGAGATAATCAACCAAAAGAGGATCTATATGCCCCTGTGTGGGGTATAGAATTGCCTTGAGGCTGTGCACATAAGAGCTGGGTGAAGGATGGGGCAGGGTGCTGTGGCTCCCTCTTCCGTGCCGAGGACCTTTCCCCCAACCAATGTCCTTTTAAGGACGCCATTATTACTTCCCTGCTGAAAGCAGTACCCATTTTTTCTATTTGCATTTCTGCTTTCGACCTACTAGGTGGGCAGGTGAGCTGGAGCTAACAGCGGGTACTCACCCCAACCCGGGCTTGAACTGCTGACCTTTTGGTTGGCAGAATTTTTCTGCAGTTTAGCCCGCTGTGCTAAGGCCAACCTTGGTGCAACTCTCGGCTTGTTCTTCAACAAGAGGAGACTCTGCCGCAAGGAATGTTTGGATCCCGTGTTTATGTCGGCAGCTGGGGAATCTGTTTGTGCAAAGAGCTCAGCTGGGACCGATTAACTTGCTCTGCGTCAGAGCTGGTTTGGCTGAAGATGGAAGCATCCTTGCTTCCCGGTTTCCAAACATCATTCCCACTTGTTCCTTTTTTAAACTTGGGAGCCTTTTAAGTCCTCGTAAAAACAAGCCTCCCCAGATTTGAGGCGTTGCTCCCAAGAAGCAGAGCGGGTTGGAGCCCACCGGCCTTGTTTGGCAAGGCAGAATCCCCCATCGTCGTCGTCCAGGGGAGAGTGGCAGGCCGAAGGAGAGGCTGGCCTTCATTCCCTTGACGAAGGAGCCACACACAGGCTCTCAAAGCAGCCAGGGTTTCTCACTTCTGAAACCTCTTCTGTGCTATTTTCCCATTTGTCCAAATAGGACGCACGTTTTCCCTTCCTTGGTCAAGCCATCCGAGCGTTGCCCCATTCCCAGCCCATCCACTCGGTCCCTTTCTTCTTCTTCTTCTTCTCCACGATAATAGCCATCCGTCCTTCCAATCAAGAGAAACCCAGATTCCTGCCGAGGAGGCTTTGCTGTGCCATCAGTTTTCTAGCAAGCAGTTTCCTCATATACTCCGAATCCTGTTACATGCGCGCATATAAATGTTAAAGCAACAACAACAAAAAAAAACAAAAAAAAATATACTCCGAATCCTGTTACATGCGCGCATATAAATGTTAAAGCATGTACAAAGTGTATATAGCAGGCACGGGCAAACTTAGGCTCTCCCTCCAGGTGCTGGGGGCTTCAACTCCCACAATTCCCAACCACCCATGCCTGGTATAGAGCTATGGCTGAATATATTATGATGAGACAGAAGAAGGCCAGAGCGTGTTTCACGTAGGTGTGGTAGCCAGTGTGGTGGTTACGCACAGTGGAAGCACAGGGCAGGACCATAGGGAGCATGGCCAGGCCATACCAGAGGATCTCAACACTAGCCACCTTGAGAGTGAGTCGGGAGAGAGAGAGCCTTCCATCAAGGAAGGAAGGAAGGAAGGAAGGCCAAACCCCACAAGAAAGGAATGGGGCCCTGCAGTGGCTCTGCTTCAAGGGGGCCACAGACTATGTTTCTCGGCCACTTATGGCAATGGAGGCTGACCTCCTCTTCCTCTTTGTCTTCCTCCTCCTCTTCTTCCTTTTCCTCCTCCTCTTCCTCCTCCTCCTCCTCTCCCCCTCTTCCTCCTCCTCCTCTTCCTCTCTTCCTCCCCTCTTCCTCCTCTCCCTCTTCCTCCTCTTCTCTTCCTCCTCTTCCTCCTCCTCCTTCCTCCTCCTCTCCTCCTCTTCTCCTCCTCCTCTTCCTCCTCTCCCCCTCTTCCTCCTCCTCCTCCTCTTCCTCCTCCTCCTCCTCCTCTCCCCCTCTTCCTCCTCCTCCTCTTCCTCCTCTCTTCCTCCTTCCTCCTTCTTCCTCCTTCCTCCTCTTTCCTCCTCCTCTTCTTCTCCTCCTCTTCCTCCTCCCCTCCTCTTCCTCCTCTCCCCCTCTTCCTCTCTTCCCTCCTCTTCTCCTCCTCCTCCTCTTCCTCCTCTTCTCCTCCTCTTCCTCCTCCTCCTCTTCCTCCTCCTCCTCTTCTCCTCTCTTCCTCCTCCTCCTCTTCCTCCTTCTTCCTCCTCCTCCTCGTCCTTCCTCTCTCTCCTCCTCTTTCCTCCTCCTCCTCCTCTCTTCCCTCCTCCTCTTCCTCCTCCTCCCTCCTCTTCCTCCTCTTCCTCCTCCTCTTCCTCCTCTCCCCCTCTTCCTCCTCCTCCTCTTCCTCCCTCTTCCTCCTTCCTCCTTTTCCTCCTCTTCTTTTCCTCCTCTTCTCCTCCTCTTCCTCCTCCTCCTCCTCTTCCTCCTCCTCCTCCTCCTTCCTTCCTCCTCCTCTTCCTCTTCCTTCTTCTCCTCCTTTTCCTCTTCCCTCCTCTTCCTCTTCTTCCTTCTGTTCCTCCTCTTCCTCTTCCTCCTCTTCCTCACCAGGGAGGACATGCTGCAGCGGTCTCTGTGGGAGAAGGTCTCCACGCACGTGATAGAAAACATCTACCTTCCGGCCGCACAGACCATGAACTCAGGGACCTTCAACACCACCGTGGACATCAAGCTCAAGCAGTGGACGGACAAGCAGCTGCCCAACAAGGCTGTGGAGGTGAGGCTTCCGGGTTGTGGGCGGCTTCCCTGCCCGGGAACCTCCCGGTTCAAAGGAAACAGGTGGGTCGGAGGTGGGTGGGAGTTTACTTCTGGGCAGAAAGATTGTGTAGTTTTAATGCAGTCGTGTCACGTTGCCAGGGCTCTGCCTTATTTAGGTAGAGATGAATCAAACTCCCAGTTTTATCAAACAGTTTAATTAAAACAGAACTTACTTTCCGGCTGTTTATATAGTCCAAAATATAAAACATAAAGATAGCACTCAGCAACAGAATAAACAAAAACTGATAGCAAAAGCTACACAGTCAAAAGGGTCCAGTCCAGTGGTCAAACGCCGAGAGTTCAAGAAACAAAGGCCAGGGATCAAGAGTCTATACTGTAGTCAAAAGCCAGTCCAAAGGTTCAAGGTTCCAGGATTTCAAGATTACAGGAGACAGGTCAGGATACCGAAAATCCGACAGACTTGGGAGAAAAACCAGCAGCATCCACCACCAAAATGCAACAGATACTTTTCTCCCCAAGATCAGTCTCAAGGTTAGCTCCTTAAATGCAGTAACACCCAGCTGCCACCCATCTCCTGCACCCCTCCACCCGTAATTGCTTTCACCCACAAACTCCCACTTACAGATCACCAAACCCTCTAGAATGAATACTCACATTAACCCTTCCATTACCAACCACCATCAACTGCAGAACATATGAGAAGTTGTTAGCAGTCTCTGGTCCTCCTGGTATTTCGGATTGTAGCTCCTAGTGTCCCTGATCATTGACTAAATTGGAGCAGAGGCTTCTGGGAGCTGATGCTCAAAACAGAGATCACGGAAGCAGCCTTGGTGTGCTCCTCATGGCCCAAGAACTGCTTTTTGGCCACTTGCATATCAGGAATGCCCTCAGTGAAATACCTGTGCTCCTTCGAGCTCTCTGTGCAAGCCCTTTGCAAGGTTGGAGCTGAAAAGTGAGCCACAACTTGAAGGATGCCTTGGGCAGACACGTCTTTACACTCTTGGGAAATGACATATTCCTACATAAAAGGAAGGGCATGTTGAGAGGAATCCCACCTTGGGAGCTCTGTGGTGCCCTTGACGCCCACCTTTAGCCCTCCCAACGATAGCGGGAGTGTTGGTTAATGCTCTGTATCAGGATGCCTTCGGGCTGGGCCAGTTGGAAGGCCCAGGACCCTTCCCTGGCCATGTGATGAAATCCAATGTGTTGTGTGCCTGGGGAGGGGCCCCTGTTCCTGAAGGCGGTCCTCCTTGTCCCGTGCGCAGGTGGCCTGGGGGACGCTGCAGGAGGAGTTCTCCCGCTTCATGACGGAGGAGAAGTGCAAGGAGCACGACGACATCTTCGACAAGCTCAAGCAGGCGGTCAAGGAGGAGAGCATCAAGCGGCACAAGTGGAACGAGGGGGCCGAGGACAGCCTGGTCAGCCCAGAACCCTTCCTAGAAGGGGGAGGGGGAGGGGAGGGGGAAGGGCGGGCCCTCATTACGGCCAGTTCTTTTTCAGTGTCTCTTGGGCGTTTGGTTTGCAAGTGCAGCTAAAAGGCATCTAGGAATGCGCTGCCCAGGTCGTTGGCGCTGCTGCCTGAGTGAAACTGGAAATGTCAAACACTGAAACAGCTGCAAAGTTAAAATTTAAAACAGAGAACTTCCTTAAAAAGATGAAATACTCTTTAGAAATAATAATAATAATAAAACACTTTTTTATATTCTGAGTGGATTACAGCCTATGAACAGACAGTGGTAAACAAACATTTATTATTTATTTACTGTATTTATATACAGTAAAACGTATATAAATGTATATTTATATGCATTCAGGGAGCCCCCGGTGGCACAGTGGGTTAAACCGCTGAGCTGCTAAACTTGTTGACCAAAAGGTTGCAGGTTCGAACCCGGGGAGCGGGGTGAGCTCCTGCTGTTAGGCCCAGTTTCTGCGAACCTAGCAGTTTGAAAACATGCAAATGTGAGTAGATCAATAGGTACCTTGGAGGGGTCTACAGACAATGCCGGCTCTTCGGCTGCCAGACTGTAGGGTCCATATAGCAATATTAAATAACCACTCACAAGCCGGTTCTGCTTTGAAGTGGATATATTGCTTGTATCTCTGCAGCAAAGAAAGACACTACTGACTTTCCCCCACCACCACTTCCTTTTATACACCTTTCCTGCACATCTCCCCCTCTTCTCAGTTTCCTTATTAGAACTTGTTGCTTCACAAGTTCCAATACAAAGCTTCCAGCGCCCTCAGCTGGCTTCAAAATGTCACAGAGAGAAAACTGAGGCAGCCAGGATGAGTCAGTCAGGATGTCACGGAGGAAATTTGTGATGTCTTCATTCCGTCAGAAATTGACTCCTGACATCGGCTTAGAAATGGAGATGAGCACCAGAGTCCCAGAGTCGGACTTGACTAGACTTATTGTCAGGGGACAACTTTTACCTTTACTATATAGTGCCTTGTTACAATCACATATAATGAGACACACAACCAAAGGCAAAGTCTTCTCCTTTCATTTCCAGCTTTGGAGGCAGTGCTCACCTCTGGCTTTGGGGGAGACGCTCTTCTCCATTTCCAAGCCAAGGGGCCCGTATTGTCACCTCCCGGTCGTGTGACTGGCATGACTTCTTGGAGTGTCTTTTTGCCTTTTCCCACAAAGGCAGTACCTATTGATCTTACATTTACATGTTTTTGAACTGCTAAGTTGGCAGGAGCTAGGGCTAACAGCGGGAGCTCACCCCATCCTGCAAATTTGAACTGGCAACCTTCAGGTCAGCAGTTTGGCAGCACAAGTATGTAAGCCATTGTGCCATGATGGCCCCCGTACAATACTCTTACAGTACTCTTGAAGTCTGAAACAATAAAAGCCCTTCCCTTTGGTGAGCGCAGGGTCCCTTGGGAGGCTTTGGGGCCGCTGCCTGACCTTTGCGCTCTGCCTTGACAGAGAGTGATCCAGCACAACGCCTTGGAGGACCGCTCCATTTCGGACAAACAGCAGTGGGACGCGGCCATCCAGTTCATGGAGGAGACGCTGCAGAGTCGCCTGAAGGACAGTGAGTGCCCCGGCCTTGCCCCCCTTGGCTGCAGCCCACACGGCCCTGGTCCGCTTGCATTGCGGTCTCCTCCCCCTCTGGGAAGAGGGAGATCCCGCTGCTGCCCCAAATGGATGGGCGGCCCCCGAGGTTCCCCTTCAGGGCCGGCCTGACGTGCTCCTCTCTGCCTCTCCAGCGGAATCCGTCATTGAGGACATGGTGGGCCCGGACTGGAAGAAGAGGTGGCTCTACTGGGTGGGGCGCTCCAAGGAGCAGGTGAGCGGGGCCCCGGGCAGCCTTGCCTTGTGGGGTCAGGTGGGACACCTCGGCCCGCCTCCCACGCATGCTCCCTCCCTCCCTCCCTCCCTCCCTCCCTCCCAGCTGCCTTGTGGTTTGGCCTGCCTTGTTCAGGGGGAAAGGCAGAGCTTCACGCTGGATGGACAGATGGGGAAGGGGAGGCCGGCAGTCCTTCCTGGTCATTCATAGAATCATAGAATCAAAGAGTTGGAAGAGACCTCATGGGCCATCCAGTCCAACCCCCTGCCAAGAAGCAGGAATATTGCATTCAAATCACCCCTGACAGATGGCCATCCAGCCATTCTCACACCAAGGGCTGGGAGGACATTCTGTGGGGGCTTCATGGGACCTGGGTGGGGTTTGGAGACTTTTCAAGGGGAGCTGGTTGCAGATCGGTGGGGGAGTGAAAACAAAACACTGAATCATAGAAACGTGGAGTTGGAAGGGACCGTGAGGGCCTCTAGGAAGTGCTTTGCCACAGCAGGAAGTGATGGAGGCACATTTCAGATGTGAGGAAGGCGTAAAATGTGGCCGGAGGGGGCTGTTATGAATAACTTTAAAGCATAGGTTCTTCTTATTGCAATTTCCCAGTAAGAGAAAGGGTGTCAGCAGGTTTTAGTTGCAGTCCAGCAAGCAGGTAGCAAATGATTTAGAGTGGCATCTTCCAAATTATGAGCTCTCATTTGTTCATTCCTTTCATGCAATTCCAGGATCACCCGTGATAAGTGAAAATCCGCGAAATAGGGACACTGTATTAATAGAGTTGGCTTGCTGTTGCAACTCAGAGTAGGCTTCACCTTGCTTCCAAACACCACCACACAGGAGCTGTAGTTTTATAGTTTATTGAGGAAAAAATCCAAGTCAAAAGAAATAATAAGCATTGCAAAGATCCAAAGATTAAGGCTAAAAGCAGAATATAGCTCCAAAGATCTTCAGGTAAAAGCAGGAGACACAATCCTATTGGCAAAGTTCAAACCAGAGTCCCAGGTACAAGCAATGAAACAATTGCCCCATGAATCACCATGCAAGAAATCCCAAGCGTACTGCTTTCCAGGCTAAGGTTATTCCATGAAGCTTTCAGGCTAATAAGCTACGTTGAACTGACGCTTTCTCAGAGTTTGCAAGAAGCCTAAATACCTTTCTAACATGAAAACATTAGGCTCTCCTAATCATAAAAGCATTGCAATGACCTTTCACCGAGCTGGCTTCTCGTCTGCTGGCCAGATGAGAACTCTGCCTGACCCGCAAGATCAAGACGAGCTTGCCGGGTCAAGTCACTATCTACACTTTCAGTGTCAGCGTGGGAAGGCACCTGCTCGCTATCTCCTTCATTAAAATTCCCTTCTGCTGGGAATGGCTGTGTTGACACTGCACTGTCTGTGGGAGCCTCAGAAGCAGGCCCAGAGATTTGAGGCACAGGAATCTGAATCCCATCATCCTCATCATCAGAAAATAGCTCAGCCACAACACTTGCTTTGGTTGTGGAGGATGGAGTACAGATTGGTGATGAGAGTGAAAACAAAACACTAAATCATAGAAACGTGGAGTTGGAAGGGACCGTGAGGGCCAGTCGGAAGTGCCTTGCCACGGCAGGAAGTGATGGAGGCACGTTTCAGAAGTGAGAAAGGCATAAAATGTGGCCGATGGGGCTAATGGTCCCTTCTGCCTTTGTGTTTTTAAGATCAGTGCTTTTTTGAGTCCCGCACCAGTCCGTAACCTCAGAAGCCACCCTGAGAGGGAGGGAGGGAAGCCAATTGGGGTGGGAGCGTAGGGCAGAACAGTAATGGGGACAAACAAGCCCCTCTTTTGTTCCAGAGCATCCGCAATGAGACGAAGAACGAGCTGGAGAAGATGATGAAGTGCAACGATGAGCACCCGGCCTACCTGGCCAACGACGAGGTGACCACTGTCCGGAAGAACCTGGAGGCCCGAGGGGTGGCCGTCGACCCCTGCTTGGTAAGGAAGGGGCCTCTGGCAAGAGGGGCGGCCTCTGGCTTGCTTGCGCGCTCACTTGCATGCAGGAAAGAGGTGGGCTGGGGCATTCGAAGGCTGTAATCTGGAGCAGGCACAGGCCAACTTCGGCCCTCTTCCAGGTGTTTTGGACTTCCAGGATGGATGGGTGGGGCCTTTTCTGGCCTATTTGCTGCCATCTTTGGAAGGCAGGGCCTTTATGAACCAAACCCCCAACACTCTCAAGCAGGAGTGCTGGTTTCAGCAACCCAGATAGCCCGAGGGACATTGTCTTCTGGGCCAACCATGCCCAACATGGAGCTGTGCTTCCTGAAGGCAAGGCCAGCCATAGCCATGTGTTTTATGTCTCTCTGTGTGTGTCTCTTTCTGCCTCCCAGATTAAAGACACCTGGCACCAGGTGTACAGGCGGCACTTCCTGAAGAAGGCCTTGGGGCACTGCAATCTCTGCCGGAGGGGCTTCTATTACTACCAGCGGCACTTTGTGGACTCCGAGGTGAGTGGGGACACGCGGGTGGGTGGGTAGGGGGCTTGGGGGGAGCAGGGCCTCCCCTTCAGGAAACCACCCAGCAGGAAGAGGGCGTGTTCTCCGTGCCTCTGACCCCCCCCCCCCCCCCCCCCCGTGTCTTGAATACTTTCGGAGCCATAAAAACATTCTTTAGTTTGTTTTCAATGGGGGGGGGTGCATCTGGCACTTTCGGAGAAAGAAGTGTGGCACACCGACCCAGTACTGCTCTCTCCTGTAATGGCTGTATAGATCACACAGACAAAAAGGGGAAACATCACATTTACTCCCACAGTCACTCGTAGTCCACTCATTCCCCCCTCCCTACTCACTGCCCTTTTTCCCTGTCGTGGTCAGCTGTGAATCGCACAATTGGTGTATTCCATATGTATTCATGCTGTGCAGGCAGCTTCGGAAATGAGACTAATTTTGACAGTTGGAGTCGCCCCGCCCACTCTCCCCTCAGTATAAATAGCCCGTGAGAGGGACTACTACCCAGTTCTTTTCATCCGCCGCTAGCAGCAGCAAGGAAATCAGAGACTACGCTGAACGGCCCTAACAGACAAGAGCGAGAAAGGGGTCTCCTGACGTGGAACCGTTTTGCTCTTGTTGCTCTTGATTGTTTCTGCAACTTGTCATTCCGCTCAGACTTGTTGGAGCACCATCAGTTTTCTTCCTTAGCATCAGGAGCCATTGATTCTGACTTCCTTGACTGAAAGAGTCAGTGTCCCTGACTATGTAAATCTGTGTTGTTTACGCCAAGAGTTCCCTGGTCAGTGGTGTCAGTTTGGCAGTTTTCTCATTCCAGAGTGAATCAAACCCTTCACCTCCTCCATAAATCCATTTTCCGGATTCCAAATGTCTTAGGATGTGTTGCATCCCAGATCAAGAAACGAGACCATAAGATTAAATCCACCACACTGGTCTGTAGGAAAAACAATCCTTTTTTATTGATGAAAAATTGGTTACAAAAGAAAGTTAAATGCAAAGTCAAAAAGCCACAATGGAAACACAGCAGTCAGGAAAATCTCTGAACTTGAGCAAAATTCCAAAATCCACAATACAAGAAGCAGGAACCTGTTAGCCTCTCACTAACCATGTACTTGAAAACTAGAAACCTCTGGGATTACCGGCCATGGAACAAAGGAATTCTGCCAAGGCACAGCCACAGTCCCAAACGTTGCTTGATCTAAGGAGGCACCCGGCAGGCGGCCCCTTATACCAAAGAAACTATTCCTTGAAACGTCCCTTGACTTTGAAGCCTGAGCCTGTCTCTCCTGTAATCTATTTGACCTTCGTAGGAACTGTGAATCACTCCTGTCTCTCGTTATCTGTTCCCTTCGGTCCTCATTAAAAAACCCAGGTGGAGAGCTATCACGGCTGGATTCCAAAACATTTTCATCCGGCTGTTCAGTTTCGCTTTCCCCGCCGCTGAACTCAGCATCAACACCAGTTTCCACATTGTCAGGGAAAACTACATGTTCAGTGGCTTGCTCAGTTGGAAATACTATCAGAGAATCAGGTTCACACAGATCAGGCTGAACCCCAACAGGATGGCATCTACAGTCTTGCCAGACCTGAATAGGCCCTTAGCCAGACCTCAGCCATGCCATTTCTTTCAGTCCACTCATCACCCTGTCCTCATTTATCCTACCTTGTTCATACCCAGCATTTTAAATTTTAATTATTACATTTGGCCCGGCCATAGGTTTTAAATGCTGTATGTTATTGTTATTGTTTATTGCTTATTGTGTATTTTTCTGTTTTTGAGTTTATTTTAACTGTTTTGTATTTATTATTTGTTATCGCTTTTGTTTATTGATGTGCTGTGGGCTCGGCCTCATGTAAACCACACCGAGTCCCTTGAGGAGATGGTAGAGGGGTACAAATAAAGGATTATTATCATCATCATCATTATTATTATTATTATGATTATGTCCTGGGGTGTGCTTGGCCCTGCAGTGGGGCCAGGACCCTCCGCCCAGTGGCCCTCTTGGGATGGACCTGGGCCCCATTGCTCCCATAGAGGATGGAAGGCGCTTGTGTTCCTTCGAGCAGGCATCCTCTCTCCTGCTTGGGAGCCAACGCTCCTCAGGATTTGGGGGTCTGGCAAAATGTTTTGCTTTGTCTTGATGGAGGATTGCATGATTGCTTTGAGCACTGAGAGATTTTGCTTGAGAGCCTTCCAAGAGGCATGTTTCAAGGGGGGCTTTGCTGCGTCTCTGTTCCTGACTCCCTTTCCTTGCCTGGTTTCAGCTGGAGTGCAATGATGTGGTTCTCTTCTGGCGCATCCAGCGCATGCTGGCCATCACCGCCAACACCTTGAGGCAGCAGCTGACCAACACAGAAGGTGAGCGGGTGGGGTTTGGGCGCCGCAAGCCCTAGTGCTGCTCACCAGGCCGCTCCTTCCTGAAGGGTTGTTTAGGTGCTGTTGTTGTTGTTGGGGTGTTGGGTGGTTTGCAGGCTTTGAAACAGAGGCTGGATGGCCATCTGTCAGGGGTGCTTTGAATGCAATTTTCCTGCTTCTTGACAGAATGAGGTTGGACTGGATATTGGCCCACCAGGTCTCTTCCAACTCTAGGATTCTAGGATTCTATGAACTCTAGGATTCTATGAAATGCTGCTAGAACGTGGCCATGTTGTTGTTGTTTATTGCTTCAGTCGCTTCTGCCTTTTGTTGCCCTCCTGGGCCATCCCAGGCCAGAGCTCCCTGTCGGCCGTGGCCACCCCCAGGGGCTCCTTCCAGGTCAAGCCAGTCCTTTCGAGAATACCATCCCTCCCCCTTGCCCTTGGTCGGCCCCTCTTCCTTTTTCCTTCCCTTTTCTCCCGCATCACTCTCTTCTCCAAGCTTTCCTGTCTTCTCATCATGTGGCCAAAGGACTCTGCCTTTGCCTTGAATATCTTCTCTCCAGGGAAGAACACAGCCAGGCAGACTGGAAACCACACAACACCCCAGCCATGCCGACTGTGAAAGCCTCTGACAATTTATCATCATCATGGTATTGTCGAAAGCTTTCATGGCCGGAATCAGTGGGTTGTTGTAGGATTTTTTTGGCAATATTGCCATGTTCTAGAGGCATTCTCTCCTGACGTTTCACCTGCATCTATGGCAAGCATCCTCAGAAGTAGTGAGGTTTGTTGGAACTAGGTTTATATATCTGTGGAATGACCAGGGTGGGACAATGGACTCTTCTCTGCTGGAGCTAGGTGTGAATGTTTCAATTGACCACATTGATTAGCATTTGATGGCCTGGCAGTGCCTGGAGCAATCTTTTGTTGAGAGGTGATTAGATGTCCTTGTTTGTTTCCTCTCTGTTGTTGTGCTGTTCTAATTTTCATAGACCATCATGATTTATCTATTTATTTAATTACCCTATTTATACCCTTCCCATGAGGTCACGAAGAGTCGAAAGCGACTGAACGAATAAACAACAAATACCCTTCCCTTCTCCACCCCGGAGGGGAATCAAGACGGATTTACACACAGGGGCAACTATTTGATGCCTTCAAACAAATTACAATTAAAGTAAACATTTTAAGATAAAATTTAAAACACATTCAAACATATAAAATATTATTATTATTATTATTATTATTATTATTATTATTATTATTATTAGCCATCCCCTGCCACGCTTTGCTGTGGCCCTCATGGGGGTTCTGTGTGGGAAGTTTGGCCCAATTCTATAGTTGGTGGGGTTCAGAATGTTCTGTGAGTGCAGGTGAACTATAAACCCCAGCAACTACAACTCCCAAATGTCAAGATTCTATTTTCCCCAAACTCCACCAGTGTTCACATTTGGGCGTATTGAGTATTCGTGTAGAGTTTGGTCCAGATCCATCATTGTTTGAGTCTACAGTGATCTCTGGATGTAGGTGAACTACAACTCCAAAACTCAAGGTCAATGCCCATCAAACCCTTCCAGTATTTTCTGTTGATCAGGGGACTCCTGTGTGCCAAGTCTGGTTCAATTCCATTGTTGGTGGAGTTCTGAATGCTCTTTGATTGTAGGTTAACTATAAATCCCAGCAACTACAACTCTCAAATGATAAAATCATATTTTTTTGAGTGATGGTCACTCCTTGTGTTGTGAGACATTTTGGTGCCAAATTTGGTGTGACTTTGTTCATTGGTTCTTTTGTTTTTAAGGTACTCATTACGCACAGAGCATTTATATATATATATATATAGATTATTATTATTATTATTATTATCATTATGTTAATGTGTTTGATATTTATTTATAGCCTGCTTTCTCTCTCTACAAAAGAGACTCAAAGTGGCTGACAGTAAAACCAAATGTGATGCACATACATACATGCACAAACACTAAAACATGCAAACATTAACATATAATTATTAATGATATTAAAACGTAAACAGTTAAAATCCTGATTGGAAATGGATTGAAAACGTATCGAGCGTCTTGAGAGCCCCTCCCTGGTGGGTTTTGCAGACTTTTCCTAAGAGTTGTGTTTCTCATCCGCTAGTGCGGCGCCTGGAGAAGAACGTGAAGGAAGTTCTGGAAGACTTTGCGGAGGATTGTGAGAAGAAGATGAAGCTTCTGACCGGGAAAAGGGTCCAGCTGGCCGAGGACCTGAGTGAGTCCCTTCCTTTCTCTCTTTCTCCTTCTGGGCCTCTCAAAGGGAAAAGCCACCAGGACTTGTCGTGGATTATTCCACTTTGTGGCCCCATTTCTTAAGATTGGCTCTGCATCTCGTGGTGCCAGAGCGCAGTCTGTTCAGCGCCTTCCAAGTCGCCCAGTCTTCTGTGTGCCCAGGGGGGAGTCTCTCATCTGGTATCACCCATAGATTGAGGTTCTGGGTTTGAGCCTGCCACTTTTGGACTCTCGCTTGCTGAGGTGTTCCAGCGAGTGTCTCTGTAGATCTAAGAAAACTATTTCTTGATTTAAGTCGTTGACGTGCTGGCTGATACCCAAACAGAGGATGAGCTGGAGATGTCTCTGCCTTGGTCCTTTCACTATTGGCTGTTACTTCCTGGTGGATGTCAGGTGGTGCAATGCCGGCTAAGCAGTGTAATTTCTCCAGTGGTGTGGGGCGCAGACACCCCGTGATAATGCGGCATGTCTCATTAAGAGCCACATCCACTGTTTTAGTGTGGTGAGATGTGTTCCACACTGGGCATGCGTACTCAGCAGCAGAGTAGCATAGCGCAAGGGCAGATGTCTTCACTGTGTCTGGTTGTAATCCCCAGGTTGTGCCAGTCAGCTTTCGTATGATATTGTTTCTAGCGCTCACTTTTTGCTTGATGTTCAGGCAGTGCTTCTTGTAGGTCAGAGAGCGGTCTAGGGTGACTCCCGGGTAATTGGGTGTGGAGCATTGCAGCACACCCAGACATCTGCTTAAACAGCAAGAAGGGACTGACTTGCGCCTTGAACCATTTGGGTTTGCTTGCTCTCCTCAGCTCGGCCTGCGTTCTGGTGGCCTTTCCGCTTGGTGATGCTTTCACTGCGCCTTTATCAATGGACTAAGGTGGCGCATGGGATGACCCTCCTCAGAAGTTTAGGGTTTTAGACATATGTTGAAATAGCAAGTGGACGCTGCTTTCCTGTGCTTCGCCCCAGAAAGGGGTTTCTGGCCACCTTTCCAGTTTTGTGGCACTTTCACCGGGCCTTCCTTGTCCCCATATTAGGCTGGCAGTGCCTGTCGGAGGTTTGGCCACAAGACCCCTTTGAGTGGAGCCCATCTTTTTGAGTCTTCTCCAAACTGAAAGCGGGGTTGCGGTGTTTTGCGCAGACCAGCCTTTCTTTCCTCCTTTTGCTCACAGCACCGAAAAGGCAGGCTCGGGGCCAGCTTGCATTTCACGGGCCAGGCTTTGGGGTGCCACGTGTTGCGTTTCCCCCTCAAACTGAAGGGATGTTTGTGCCTGGAAGTCGGGGACTGACTCGCTTTGTAGTGAGGAGGCCAGGCCATGGGACCAGCAGACCCTTCCGTAACTTCCCGTAGGAATATTGGGCATTAAAGCAGTCACGTGCAGCATAGCCAGATTTATATATGAGCCTATAATAGGAAACAGGAGAGAAAATACACAGGGTGATATTTATTTTATTTTATTTTATTTTATTGACAATATTTATATTCGGCCCTTCTCCTCACCCCGCAGGGGACTCAGGGCGGATTACAATGTACACATATATGGCAAACATTCAATGCCAAAGACACACAACAGATACAGACAGACAGTCAGAGGCTATTTAACTTTTTCTGGCTGCCAGGGGAGCTGTCGCTTTCATCGACGCTGATGAAGTCCTTCTGCATTCCCTGCATGTTTTCGCTGGAGTGCTTTGCTGGAGTCTTTTTCATGGCCTCGTAAATTAGTTAAATTAGCCTCCCCACACATAGGTGGTACATAATTTTCCTACTTGACAGATGCAACTGTCTTTCGGGTCGCAAAGGTCGACAACAAGCTACGCAATTGGTCGGAAGCTCACTCCAACCTGGGCTGGCTTCGAGCTCATGATCTTATGGTCAGAAGTGATCTTAATGCTGCTGACACTCAGACAGCTGTGCCACAGTCCCGGTGGTTAAAACAGATGCCTGCTGTAGATGCAGGTGAAACATCAGGAGAGAATGCTCCTGAAACATGGCCTGGTAGCCTGGGAAACTCACAGCAACCCAGATGAAAGCTTCGTGTTATCGTTGGAGGCAGTGCATCTCAGATGAGAGAGCAGGTGATGCAAGTGTCCTGACTTTGGCAGGAGAAGAGTCCCTCGTGCGGACAGGCCAGCCTCTGTATGCGAGGCATCCTGAGGCAGAGAGGAGCCTCGGGGCGCTTCCTTCTCAAACTCCAAAAGACGTTTCGGAAGAAGGGAGCAGCCTCTCCGTGCAGCAGGAAGCAAAACCCCTTGAAGTGCGCAGATCTGGAGAACAGGGGTGAGACAACAACAACAACAGCTTTATTTATACCCTGCCACCATCTCCGTAAGGGAACTCAGGGCGGCTTATATGAGGCCAAGCCCAAAAATTACAACAAATCAAATATGCAACATAAAAAATGCAGCAATAAAATATAATGAAAATAATAATGCAAAAAAATAAAAGCAATACAGAGTAAACACACAATGCGATATAAAACCACAATAATTGGACCCAATAATTGGGCAGGGCCAGTTGCAAAGATTAAAACGTTGAAAAACACTGGCTGAGATGAGCAATCTAGTGTCTCTAGGAGGAGGACCAGATGGGATGAGACAATGGGGTTGGATTGCCCAAGAGGGAAACAGAGTGCGTCCAAGGGCATTTTATGCAAGGTTTGGACAAGGTCAGGGATTGTTGTGCATTCATTGAAGGCACGCCAGAACAGCTAGCTTTTTAGGCTCTTCCTGAAGGCTGCCAGCGTGGGCATTTGCCTAATTTCCCTGGGAAGTGAGTTCCAGAGCTGAGGGGCCACCACAGAGAAGGCCCTCTTCCTCATCCCCACCAGTCGTGCTTGCGACGGAGGTGGGAGCGAGAGGAAGGCCTCCCCAGCAGATCAAAGGGATTGTGTAGGGTTGTAGAATCATAGAATCTAAGAGTTGGAAGAGACCTCATGGGCCATCCAGTCCAACCCCATTCTGCCAAGGAAATGTGGTCACGAAGGTAGGCGGATCCCAAACCGTTCAGGGCTTTGTAGGTAAGAACCTGCACGCGTGGCTTCTTCTTCTTCCTCCCTTCTGGCTGCCTCTCTCTGAACTTGGAAGGCTGCTTGTGCCTGGAAATCCTCTCTTGTGCCAAGTTTGGTCCAGTTCCATCATTGTTTGAGTCCACAGTGCCCTCTGGATGTAGGTGAACTACAACTCCCAAACTCAAGGTCAATGCCCACCAAACCCTTCCAGTATTTTCTGTTGGTCAAGGGAGCTCTGTGTGCCAAGTCTGGTTCAATTCCATCCTTGGTAGAGTTCAGAATGCTCTTTGATTGTAGGTGAACTATAAATCCCAGCAACTTTGTTGTTGTTCATTCGTTCAGTCGTCTCCGACTCTTCGTGACCTCATGGACCAGCCCACGCCAGAGCTCCCTGTCGGCCGTTACCACCCCCAGCTCCCTCAAGGTCAGTCCAGTCACTTCAAGGATGCCATCCATCCATCTTGCCCTTGGTCGGCCCCTCTTCCTTTTGCCTTCCACTTTCCCCAGCATAATTGTCTTCTCTAGGCTTTCCTGTCTCCTCATGATGTGGCCAAAGTACTTCAACTTTGTCTCTAGTATCTTTCCCTCCAGTGAGCAGTCGGGCTTTATTTCCTGGAGGATGGACTGGTTGGATCTTCTGGCAGTCCAAGGCACTCTCAGCACTTTCCTCCAACACCACAGCTCAAAAGCATCTCTCTTCCTTGGCTCAGCCTTCCCGAAGGTCCAGCTCTCACATCCGTAGGTGACTACAGGGAAGACCATGGCTTTGACTAGGCAATGGATCTTGGTTGCCAGTCTGATGTCTCTACTCTTCACTATTTTATCGAGACTGGACATTGCTCTCCTCCCAAGAAGGAAGCGTCTTCTGATTTCCTGGCTACAGTCTGCGTCTGCAGTAATCCCAGCAACTACAACTCCCAAATGTCAAGGCCTCCTGTTCTCTGGAGTCTTGGCTCTCCCTCCCAATTAGGTGTCGCCTGCAAACTTGATGATCTCCTGGCTTCCTTTGCCGAGAGTAGGCCAGCGCATGGGCCGCTCTGCCCGTCAGGGGGAGCCCCGGGACTCCTTTCCTTGGGAGGAAGAAGAAGCGGGACTCTTGGTGGGCCTCCCTCCCCAATGTTTGCATGTTAACCTCCCCTTGAGAGCTGAGCTGTGAGCATTTCCCAGCCCACAAAGCCTCTCTTCCTGCCTTCCTGTTGGGTCTTGCTGCCTCTGCTGCCGGACGCGGTTGCTAAGGGAGTGTCAACAATGGGCAGCCTCTTCCTGGAAGGGCTTGGTGCCGCCTTCCTTCTTCCTCCAAGGCAATAGCCTCGGGTGCCTGGCTGGTCTCTCTCTCCACGTTGGGTCCAGCTTCGCTCTTGGTTTCCCTTCTTCCTCTGGAGAAGACTTGGGAAGCTTCCTGGGAAGCAATAGTCAACTCAGCATGTTTTCCCCAGAGAGTCCCCCCCCCCCCCCCCTTTCATTATTGCACGATGTAACACAGCATCTGTTCCTGGGTGATATAAATGCCATTTCCTAATTGGTTCTATCATAGAAACATGGGAAAAGTTTACTAAACTGCCAAATCTTTGTATTGTCGAAGGCTTTCATGGCCGGAATTACTGGGTTGTTGTAGGTTTTTTCGGGCTCTATGGCCATGTTCTAGAGGCATTCTCTCCTGACGTTTCGCCTGCATCTGTGGCAAGCATCCTCAGAGGTAGTGAGGTCTGTTGGAACTAGGAAAAAGGGTTTATATATCTGTGGAATGACCAGGGTGGGACAAAGGACGCTTGTCTGCTGGAGCTAGGTGTGAATGTTTCAACTGACCACCTTGATTAGCATATAATGGCCCGACAGTGCCTAGAGCATACTTTTGTTGAGAGGTGATTAGATGTGCCTGATTGTTTCTCCTCTGTATTGTCGAAGGCTTTCATGGCCGGAATCACTGGGTTGTTGTAGGTTTTTTCGGGCTATATGGCCATGTTCTAGAGGCATTCTC